TAGACAACCAGTTTTGTAACACAGACTCAATGTGATTCACTATGAAGTTAAAGTTCACTAATAAATAATATGCGACCTTAAAAATATATGTGGAGATAATTATTATAATAACATATGTTTAATAACTGTAATTAACAAAAATACGTATTTATATTTATGAACAAAACAATAAGTTCAATTTGATTGAAAAAAAAATGCAGTTCGGAATTATTGATGCAAACTAGGCAACATATTTATAAGAATTATATTGTGACATCGATTATAGTCTAAACTATGCTTGGATTTGCAAGAAAACAATATGTATGATAAGGTTTTGCCTATGAAAAAGTTAAATGATTGGATGTGTGCAAGAACTATGCAGAGCTTTATGTATATAAAATATATAGTGGTTGATTGATAAAACCAAAAAAATAAGCACTTTAAATTCTCATAGAATTATTCATTTAGTCAGTTAGATATCAGAGTTATGTGTGTTTGTTCACGATAATATTGTTTATATTTGGGGACAATAAATAAAGTGACCACACACGTCGACTTTCATCGTTACTGGTGCGACATCAACTTGATAAGAGATGAATCAAGAAGGACAATACGATGACGTTTTATAGATCAAACCGTAAATGTATGGTGACAATATTATAGTCACTTGTATAGGAAAAAGCCAGTTTATATATAAGACATATGTTAATTTACCGCTTAATAAGCTGAAAATGAAACATTTATAAAGAAAATAAACAATTAAATTAATAATAAATTAGGTACTTAGTACTACAATCATTTTAATTACATGAATCATAGAATCTTGCTTGAATACACTCAATGGATGTATAAAAAGTAATAATGATCCTCAAACACATAAACGTATGGTCGCCGTACTTTTAACAGAACATAAAGTTAAGTTTATGACGCTTGTTTTCATAGATTTCGTTGCAATTTATGCCACACTTAAGATGCACATAATCATATCAATGAAAAAAATACATTTAATTTATTGATAAATCTGTTTTATGTGACTATATAGTATAATTTACTGATATTTTAAACACGAACAGTTCCCACGACAGTAAGGTGATATTTACACAAGCATTCGGAAGGTTATACATTAAAGTAAAATTTTTAAAATGCATGAAATAAAAAAAAAATATTTTACAATTGAGTATTATTCTAACAAATTCAATTGTTGCTCTTTATCCTAGAAGAATAAAAATCATCACACACACATTTTAAAAGTATAACTAAATGGTAATATTTTTTTTTGTTCATATTTAAAGTTGTATGTGGTAGGAAAAGAATTTGAAGTGAAGTATTTTTCATATTTGTTATAAAAAAATGAGACGAAAAATACGTAATTAGGAGATTTAAATAATAAAAGGATCTACTCACAGAAACCAAACAAAATGATGATATGATTACGATAACAGATTTCCTTACAAAATATGTATTCTTCACAAACATTATCTAGGCTATGATAAAGGCCAAGTTACAGATGAAAGCAAAAATTTTGAAGAAGAAAATGTTGTCCTTTGTTCAAATCTATTTTTATATATAAAACAAGTGACCATCACATTGGTCTTTATAACAAAATAAAAACATAAAATAAAGAAACAGCGTAGTATTTTTTTAACGTCCTCACTCTCTTCTTTTATAAGACTAGATGCTATTAATTGTTACGCAATTTACGACTCGGTTCCAATACAACGTTAAGAGTCCACTTTATATCCCTGTAATAGCTCAAAATAAGAGCGCATTAACTGGGACCGTTTTATTTATGATTTGAATCGTAATAAATCTGTGTTTATTGTCTCCAAACCGATCTAGAATGATGCTTTGACTTTGATGGTTGCACTTCTAATATACGATCACCTTTTGAACTCATTTTTTACGTCCTTACTTATAGTTATTTATTAGATCGTAAACGTTTAGTTTGTTTTATGTACGCTCACTACTAATATTGATTATTTTAATATACAAACCGTATTCGGGTTAATGGTTGCATCATATTTAACTGAATGGTTGTGTTAACTGTACAAGGATTTAGCATGACATAAATCATATTTAGGTCTGTCTGTTTAACTGCTGCTCGGTATATATTAGATGTGTTTTAATATATAATATTGTCGATGTATCATAGTATGTGCTGGTAGCTGTGACGATGCGCAGTAAATCGAACAGAGCGTCGCGTGTAGCTACACGGGTGGTCGCGGATAGCGGGATGTAATAATACTAAAATATTCTTTATTATACTATATTATTTTTATATTGACGTCAAAGGATAACAAATTTATACTTAACACAAGTTCTTAAAAATTGAATTTGAAATAAAAATGCTAAATAATCATTTGTTTCAATATAACCATCTGTAAAATAACGAATAAAATTGTTAAACATTTCGTTACTCGCTTGAAAGTTTCCCAAAGGATTAAAACACATCTCAGCTCATTTAAGAAGCATGTGACCAAAACTAATTTACAATAGTAATTGAATATGTATCTTTCGTATCGGTAAATCAATTAAATGTGTTGGTTCCTTACCGTACAACGCCAGTCAGCTCGTCATAGTGGATGCTATAATTCTGCTATATCACATTGTTTATACCCCGGCGCCGCTCGCTGAGTACCTCGCACAGAGCTCAGCAGGTGTTGTATATAAAATATTGATTTACTCCTATCAATGATTCCAGTTTCATACAAGTCCTATATTGAAATTTACAAATTGTTAAATATGCAGAATCAAACTAAATAATTGCTTCATTTCATTCTATCAGATTGTTTATTTAAATGAGATACATATATTTTCTGCTCATACATGTACCTTTTCTATATTTTACCATCAATTAAGTTATAACATATATTACAAAATATCTAACTATTTTATATCAAAGAACTTAGAAATGAAGTCATGAATCGATTTCAACCATTTATTTTTCCTATGTATTAATAGAACATGTATTGTAATATAGCCGTATCTTCAAGCAAACACGGGATATTAATTATAAGTTTGTAAATAACTTAACGTAATTAAAGCAGGTGAAGCGCTGTTAGGGCTTATCGTAACTTTAACCCGCTCGAGTAACAAGACATTGAAACCCGGACATAGAGTTCACCTTAATAGGATGATCACATATGTAGTGTGTGATAAATAAAACATATGAAACATTATATATACTCATATAATATTATATTATTACATAATTTTCCAGCTGCACATCAATTAAATGCATTCGCAAGTATCGATAAATGCTCCTCACTTGATGGAATTTCTCAAGTATAAATGTAAATGTATGTACATATATATACGTATATATTGCTTCTAGGTATCGTAATAATCATGTTAAATATAACAATATTTATTTAATAATTTTATAAGTTTAAAAATTTTCTTTAATATATAAAAATAATTTCAGCAACCATACCCAATTTCTCTTCTCACTTTATTTTAACGTGCCGTAATTATAATAACAATTGTTATAACAATAACAAATGTTACCATAAACGGATACATTATTAGTCATTAAACACTATATAAAATCGATATCGATGAACCGGCTAGAAATAGTGCGGTGCATAGCATAGTTAACCTGGGGTCGTGCGCAACACTATTTATTTTAGTGATGTCGCGTTAGATACCTTATCCCGGGCTACTGTGCCACCAGATCCAGCGATAAAGCCTCCCGTAATTTGTTATCTATAAAGAAGTTTTGTTAAAAAACGCAACAGTTGCTTTTATATCCTAAAACGTTTATCTTTGAATATATTTTTTTTACTATCCCTAGTTTATCGACATAAATGAACTTATAAGAAAAAAATTCGCAAACTAAAACTTATAAAATAATGTATAATTTAAATCGAAAAACAAAATTTCGAAGCAATAAATAATGTTCACCCGTGTATAAATATTTGAAGGTGAAACCTCTCATTAACAATGGCCTATGACCCGAAACTAGATTATGTCATTCGTCTCTGATAAAGAACGATTTATTCGCCGCTTCCTACAACATATTTTTAATAATCTTGTCCTGCTATTAAATACACACATTAACATAAACTTATTTAGTGTCAAACATACATAAATTATACACTAGAACGTTTATCTATTAGCATTCGCCTATGTCTAGAATTATTAGCTTAGCTTCTATTTAAATATATCAAAAAACACATTCAATTCTTTATACATAGACTACCGAATTCCATACATATTTAAAATGATAATAATGGACTGTTCATATATAATATTACAAGTATAGTCTCTATATCAATACGTTGCTGTCCTTCTGACATCGTCTTAACCGGCCATTACATATTAAACGTATTCTTTTTAATACCGTGTTGACTTTTTAAAGCGGAGTTGCATAGATAATATCAATTAGTGGCACCTTGTGATTTGCTCTGTGGCGCGATACGGGACGGGTCGGTATGGGGCTCCGCTCGATACATAGGGATGTATAGCGACTGTGCAGCTCACTAAAATATGATGCATCGCAATAAATATATACGACATAAAATAAAAATTTATGTTCCATCTATATCACTAAATGGAGCAAATGAATGTATGTTAACAAAATCATTAATTGCTATATATATCGCCCACCTTTCTCCGATATAACGCTAACAGTCTACTAAATCCTCTCAATATATATTTATAACAGAACATCTATCGGAATCGATTGATATAAATCGCTTAAAAATATCAATAAAAATTTATTCGCACGATTCCGATTTGATACAAACAATCGTTTAGCTTCACCTAATAAATAATAGTTCACTGTGTTCTGACCTCGTAACTGGATACAGAATTATTTATCTCAATACCGCAACTTTAAACATCTCAGATGATTCATTACATATATATTAACAAAATATTATAAAAAAAAACATAAATAGTGCGAAATTAATTTAAAGAACTCGATGAGTTGTGATAATTTGTATGAATCCGGACTAAGACCTATATCGTCATGTGTCCGTTCATGAATATTCGTCAGTAAATATGTGAATAATGCTCGCATGTTATTCCGGAGCACGCTGCCCGGTGCCCGACGCCAGCCCTGGCTCAGTGATTTACAAGCGCGCTCGTCGATCTTCGATAACGTTTTACTTATTGTTACTAACTCCGATCGCCCAACCGTCGATACGCCATATCGTATTTATGCGCTGTCACCGCCTTTTATTGCGATTAATATGAAGCCCGAGCTCTGTTTCTTTTTTAATCCACCTGCTTGTATGAATATTTGTTGGCGGGCGGGTTCCGTCCTATTAAACTATTTACAACATCAAACTTAATTTATCATGTATGCGGTTTATATGAGATTATTATAAAACATATGTATGCTCTAGTATTCGTGTTAAATATTGTCATTTGCACAAATATTTCAACACTTTGCACACTGTAAAGTGAAACTTATATTTAATAAGCCATTAAAAAACTTTAATTAGTTATTATAGAAAATCTTTATGCACTTAGCCTAATGATTTATCTCAAAGGAAGACTGAACGCATAAAACAAAAGGAACTGCATTTAATCCGCAAGTTGAAAATGAAAGGACGCCACGCAGCCTTAGTAGCGATTAGTTACAATTAAACAATAAACCTATTTGCTATCAGATCGGAAGCCATGCTCCAAGGCGAAGACCTCGCTGGCTGCCAACAAAGATGCATTGTCGTTGCACCGACGGTTGGAACCAATCCAATATTGTTGGGTGAATCTGAACAATCGCGACCTCCAAATTCCACATTAGAATATCCATTGACAACTAAAAGAACCCAACTATCATCACATGCTGCGATACAAAATGAATCTTATTTTATATAACATTAAATTTATTTTCAAATGCCGTTTTAATCAGGGTACGTTGCTTGTAAAGGCCAGGATGGGGCGAATGGTGGCCATTGTCTATTGACCTCAACGAAGAAAGGAATGATGACGAATTGTGAAGTCAAGGTTACTAGCAGTTCTGTTTACTATTCGTCGTAGTGAATTAATTAGGACGTCCTCTGACTGATAGACATTCAATAGGTGACGACAGATCATAGGACGCCGAAGACCAATTAAATGTGTAAAATAACATGTTGTTAAGTTAGTGTATAAAGGAAATAGCAAATTTAATACTAAAGTTTTTTAAAATATTATTACCAAATCATATTGATGGATAAATATTTTGATGCCAGTCAGTATGTAAGAAATTATGATATATGTTTTTATAGATCGTTGCTACAACACTGATGATCATAAAATTAATTCATGTATATTAAAGCTGTTTAACGGAAACAATAATTTATTAAACGTTGATAGAATTTAAATGCCAGATACCACAACTTAAACTGCTGACTTATCGGTTTACATGTGTCACGTACGACATGATGTTCACGCCAATACTCCTGCCAATTATTAAGGGTTACGGCAAACTGACCCCTGTTGTGATAGCTCCAAATATGATATTGGCTTAAAACGAATTGCTGGATGTTATCAATTTTGTTAATTGTATTCACAATCCAGACAACAAAGATCTGATAGCGTGCGGTTTGGAGACAAAGACACAGAAAGTATGAGACGGTTGTAACACTGACTAATCAACTCCTAAAGAGTGAGGATATGTTTTATTAATGACACCTTTCATATGTGGTCGAGAGTATCCGATAGTAAGTTTGATTTATGCTCAATCTGTTGTTTGTTTTAATTAGAACAGAAAAGTATAAACAATGATTAATTCAGTTCAATTTAATTGTATATCCCATAACAGAATTCGACTTTGATACTATTTATAAAAACTAATTACTGTTCGTTGAAACAAAAACGCGATGCAAAATGCTTAAGATTATTTAAATTAAGGATTCACCGGACAAAAAGAAGTCGATCTTTAATTCTAGCTCATTACCTAAAAGGACGTTGGCGTGTTGGTGATAAGATCGCAACGCAGAAGCGTAAATCACGCGATTCGTATCATTACGTCGCGCTACATGCGAGCTAGTCCTAATTGTGGAATAGGCTTATAGTTGCTTTGATAAACAGCGCCCTTATATGTCAGAGATCGCCTCACTATGATAACCGAGGGTGTTAATAATGATCAAGTATGTACACTCATTTTTAAACCACAACCAAAACCTAATTGCAAAGCCGAGCAAAAATTTTTCTCATATTTACTGACACGGAAAATAAATTTATTATTTGTAATGTGACGTATTTCACGGTTTCGTGTCAAATCAAATTTCAAGTTTTAGATGTCGTTGTTGTAACTCATATTTATATTTTTTCGAGTTCTTTTATATGGAAATATTGACCTTTAGAACTTTCTACGATCAAATTCACATCGTTGTTATCAGTAAAGGTCTTCACAGACTCGATGTTGAGAAAAGAAAACCCGTTAAATTATTATACTGCTTTTATCTTAATAATATAATTATCCGGCTATTAGTCGAACGAGATGATATAAATGCTTGAATAAGGCTTTAAATATAAAATATATTTATGAAGGTGTTGTTATGTAATGTAAATTCAATTTAAAGTCACGTTATTTTGTCATCTCGCCACAACTATAGCTCAGTTTACGAGCGTTGAGTTCCGGATCAACACAGGAGGCCTTAACGGTGTTCGGCGCACACAGTGTGGTCGCTGACGTGGGAACATACATACATACATACATATATGAGAACGACCATACATTGAACATCACGTGAAGTTACATAACTGAAATTCTTTAAACGAAGGAACACGAGTTCCTAATGTGAAATGAACAAATGTTTTACCTTATAAAGTTCTGTATTAATAGTAAACATGATTATGGGTGCACAACATCTTAAAACATAAACATACTACTGTTCTATGTTCATTTTACAATTTCTATATCTTTGGTAATAAGATATTTAAAATTACTTTAATTTACCTCTGCTATATTATTTATTAAAGAGAGAAGACAAGAGATATAAAAATTCTTCTAGTTAGTCATCACCCTTATTTCAAACACGGTATCCAAATAACACAAAAGATTCAATTTCACCAAAACTTCCGTCACAGAAAACCAGTTTATTTATTAACAAATCTATAAATAATATTCGATGTGACAATATTAATAATACAAGCTTAAATAAACACTAATAAAAAGACGAGAAAAGAAAGGCGTCAATTGAATTAAAGAACTTCTGCTAAGGTTAAATTAACAAGATAATAACTAAAATAAATATAAAGAAATTTAATTCTCTTCTAATTGAAGAATATCTTTTTAAACAGGATATTAATAAAAATTTAATCAAGTTACACTACATATGTATATTTCAAATAAATTATTTCAAAGGTTTCACATAAGTCAAAGCTATTAATCTATATATCAAATAGGCGGTCCTCTTGTAACAGTAAAATATTAAAAAAACTATCTCTGATAAGTTATCTGTCTGTCGTCACCTTCTAAATACATATACCATCGAAAAAAGCCCAAAATTGATTATTACCATTAAGTCTCGCGTTGAAACATGGCCGTTGTTAAGTACACACGTAAGGAATGAATAATACACAGAGCACAACGTTTTTACAATATCACATGATTTAACATCGTCCCAAAATAATAAAACATTGGAATATAGCCTTTAAATTTATAGTCTTAAAGATGAATGTTACGTTTGTTGGTTGCAAAATAAATTTGTTTGATATTTTTCGAAATCGGACTGGATTAATTGTCAGACACACGGCCGGCCAAACTGACAAATTAGATACAGCACATTGAATTAAAATCGATTAACAATCTTTTGTTTTTTCTCAGTAATTTCTGAAACGATTTCGGACTGATTTGTTTCCGTTATACGAGAATCCGTTCGCATATTAAAACGATAGCTTTGTTTTATTGCAAACCAATTTCGATGCCATTTATTTTGAGTGTGTGTTGTTAAAATTTATTAAATTATGCATCTTATGCAATTATAGATTCTAGGTGTACTATTGTATGGCCAACAATACAATCCTATATATGTTGTTTAGATATGAAATAATATGATAATAAACATCATAACCCCATCACAGCAGCCATTCACAAATATGTGCCACACAGCCGGAGCGTTCATTGAGACGGTCATAAAATAATAGAAACGTATTTTTATAACAGTGACTCGTATTACCAGAATTAACTTATTTGAAATACGACCAAACGGCGAACACGGAATGGGCGGTACCTTCAATATTATAATACCGTACAGTATTAGTTATAATCAATCGACGTGATATGATTTGATAAACTTCTAATGTTTTATGATACACATATATAATTCTAAGTCATATATTCTTAGATATACATATTTATTTCTATACGGAAAAACTGAGATCTTTGGCTTTATATTTTGTATGTACATACCTATATGTTTAGTCATTTATTTATATAAGTTTAGATTTAATAAACTATTAGTATCGTACTGATTCGTCCGCAGGGTGTCGACTTCGCCACTATCATCGGATGTAGCGCGCTAATTGACTCGCTATTATAGCGGAAAATTATTGTATATAAGAAGATCTACATACAAAGTAATGTTACAATGCTATTCGTTCTCACTGAATTATCTCAACGATATCAAGAGCAATTAATATTAATCTGTAACAATGGACACGAGCCTCTCGCCGCCCACAACACCACGTGTTTGTTTTAATTCCGTATAATTGTAGGCTCAGTTTCAAGTTTCAACTTTTATTAATCGTCTAAGAACTTATGGGAACTTACATGAAGTCGTTTGCTGACCCGTTCCTTAAAAATGTCCAGCTTATTATTGGATCTATATTGTATTTAAAAGCAGTTTACATTCCCTCTATCACTGTTTAGTTCATTAGAAACTTCAGAATCAATAAATGTATGTCTTTATGTACATTTTTCGACCTAAAATTTTTGTTGATAAACTCAATATAAACACAAAAATATATTTTTATCAGATGAGAAAATATTTTTATTTGTTCGCGTGTTTTTATTCACGAGCTGACAGTATGACATTCGTATAACCTCCTAACCGGCCTTGCACCACATACACATTACATCTCATTATAAGGAATTATGTCACACAATGATTCTCACGAAGAAACATTGTCTCGCTGCCTTGACTCAAACCAATTGAGATCTATTATGTTGCGACCCTAACTTCACTGTGACTTTAATCAGAATATTACAATGAGATTTATCCTTAAATTATAAGTATTGTTACTTCCATATAATATTGCATATTTTGTGACAAATATTCAAAACAATTATAGCTATATAGCTATGTAATTATTAATTTAACTTCATGGAAAAATTAAAACAATTACAAATTCATTTTCCGTCGGTCCCTAAGAGTAAACGAAACGGATCTAAATATGTAAAACATGATTCACTAAATTGAAATAAAACAGAAATTAGTGAACAAAGACATGATTAAGGTTAGCTAATTGCATATAATTTTGACTAATTATCCCATAAATAAACATGTTTTTGGGCAGGTATTAAAAACAATGTTTTAAAAGGGTTCAAACTCAGACAATTAAAATGAGGTTTTTGTGATAACAAAAAATAAGCAGTAAGAACCTTTAAAAATATCTAAATGTTATTTATTATTGGATTTTATTCTCAGCTGTTAGAGGGATTTGCACAAAATGACTATCTTTCTTCTTAACATAAAGTTCAACTAGAATTTCATACACTACGTTTATAATATGATTCTAAGATCGTATTGAAGACTGATAACAATATTTCTGGACAATATACAGACACACGCACCTATCAGTGATAGCCGAAGTTATAAGAAATTAAGTATTACTTTTAGACTAGCTAATCTTAAAATTGATGAAACCACATTCAAAGTCACCCGCGT